AATACTCAAAATTTAAAATTTATTTGATTTTTCAAACCATTTGTGTTTTATAGTCTTAATTACTAGTGGCTAAATTGTTTATTAACTATTGATCTAATTATGTTTTAAATGTAAAAAAATGATATTATGAAAATCATAATTTTTTTAATTTTTACGTTTTTTTAGTTAAAAAATCTGATGGAAATGGTAGGAGAGTATTCAAACGTCCACAAGTCAATCGCTGCGTTTGCGTCGCCATTTGGAGCGACTAGATTATTTAAACGCGTTTTTGACCGAGATAAGAAAAAAAAAAATCCATTAAACAAAAAAATACGTAAATTACGAAAAGACAAGAGAGAAAAATCAGGGTAAGAGATTTCGGAGATAGAGAGAATCTAAATCTATTGTCCAATTCTCAATTTGGATTGGCTTTTGCAATCTCTAGCGTTCCCGGGTTTCGCAATCGATTCCCTTTCCATCTCCAATCGGTAAGATCAAGAAGAAATTCTTATCCTTTCTTCAACTTTTCGACGAATTCGTAATCTTTTGATTCATACACAAATCTTCCTGTTTGATTGTGGATGAATGCAGAAGTTTCGGCTTTGAAATTGGATTTGGGTTTCGATTCAAAGTCAGCTCTTTTATTGTATTTTGGGAGAAATCAGGTGAGTTTTTTATTAGGTTTTATGACGCATGCATAAGCTTTGATTTGATTTGAGTATTGAGAAATGTTAAAGCTTTATATGTTCTTTTGAAAGCAGATATGCAGGATCAGCTCGTGTGTCATGGTTGTAGAAATACATTGATGTATCCTAGAGGAGCAACAAATGTGTGTTGTTCGTTATGTAATACCATCAATGTTCCTCCTCCTCCTCACGGTACCGATTTGATTCCTTCGCTCTGTTATTTACGGATTTGTAGATGATTGATTGAGTCTTTTGTAACTTGGTTGTGGTGAACATTGGTGGTCATGCAGTAATGGACATGGCTCACATTGTATGTGGTGGTTGTCGAACGATGCTTATGTATACGCGTGGGGCAACTAGCGTAAGATGCGCTTGCTGTCAGACTTTGAACCTTGTACCAGGTATATAACATCGTGAAGTTCGATTATCTAAGCTTTCTTGAACTGCTTGAAAGCTCTTTTGGTTCTCTTGCATAATCCGTCTTTCACATTTTTGTTTGATCAGAGCATTGTTCAATTGAGGTTCTGTATCACGTCTTTTTTCGCTTTTCCTAAAGTTGTATGTGAATCTGTAATAGCTGAGAATTGGTAGAGTAGCAGAAAATGCGTAAAACAAAGGTTTTTGATGGTCTATGTGGCCTACATAACAAGTTGTTACAGTTGGAATGGTTCATGGAATAGTAACATTACCGCTTCTTTTGATTTACCATTAGACTCTATACCTTTAAGAACAACGTTGCTGATATATTTCTTTCATCAAGATCTGTCTCTTGTTCCTTCCATTATTCCGATGATGTTCTT